TCTGAGTTTTATACAAGTGGCCTTTTCTATTTTGAATATTTCCACTTTGTGACTCAACATCCTGCTCTTGATACACACAGGATGTTGAAACTATTCTCCTAATAAGGTGCTGCAGCTGCCCGAGAACTAACAGCACATAAAGTTATTTTTTCCCCCACTGAGAAGCAAGCTGGTACTTTTCAGCTGTCAGTCAGCTAATCTAACTAGATATAAAGCATTTTTTAGGACACTGCTTTGTTTACCCTGTAGTTTGCTATGAACTTCTGATATTGGGGTCCAATTTGAGGGCTAGGTTAAGTATCCACATGCAAAACGCACAGGTTAACCATGTACAAAAGCACAATGCATGGAGGAAATTACAGACGCCGTCAAGACATCTCACATAATATATTATAAAGCATATTGACTGTATGGCTGTATTTTGTGGGCGAAAGGCAGCAGCCAATTACGCATAGCAGTGTGCCACAAACAGTCGTCGATTGAATGACCAAATTATACAGATATATTTATGTATATTATATATATATCTAAAATAGGGATTACCAACCCCGGAAAGCAATCTGCCAATCGACTAACAAAAGGGTTCCTATTTACTAGTAGATAATCACCGGTGTGTGGAGTAAGGAAACTTTCCTACGGTTTCGACCCAGCCGAGAATCGAATCTGGGTCCCCTCACTTGCGAGGTGAGTGCTCTAACCATTATGATGCAGGACTCCACCTTGACCCACAAAGCCACCAGAATTAATCATCTTTAGACAAGGGAGGTTGAAAGCTGATTTGAGTGTTAAATATGCTAAAAGTATTCATCATACATATCAATCAGTTACTATGTCCCTAACCTCTGGAACTCCCTTCCTGTACTCCTCTACCTTGCTCCCTCTCTAGTTGTCTTTAAATCCAACCTTTAAATCCAACCTCGTCGACCTAAGGTTATCTCCCCTGGATCTTCTCCCTCCTTGCTCCACAACCATCACTTGATGGCGTCTGTAATTTCCTCCGTACATTGTGCTTTTGTACATGGCACACTGAAGCACTTTGAGACATTATCCTATGTGAAGGGCACAACGTAAATACAAGTTTTTAGTTGTTGTATACAAATATGTTTGATTTGGCTCCAAATATGGGTTCATACTTGAGCAATAGTTCTTAACTGAGAAAAGGAGGATGGGAATACAAACGTACTGTTAAGACTCCAGAAATACCTCTGAAAAAAGGGTGATCAATGAAAAGTTATGGAGTCCTGTAGCTCAGTGGTTACAGCAATCACCTCGCAAGTGAGAGACCTGGGTTTGATCCCCGACAGGGCGAAATGTTGGGCATGTTTTCTTACTCTACATGCCTCTATTTACCTAGCAGTAAGTAGGAACCTGGTTGTTAGTCGATTGGAGGATCGCTTTTCCGGGGATAATAATCCCTCAAATAAAAAAAATAATAATTTGGTTACTCAATCCACGACTGTTTGTGGGACACTGCTGTACGCAATTGGCTGCCAAGTTTCGCCCACAAATATACGGTCAATTCACTTTACAGTATATTCTGTGAAGCGCTTTGAGATGTCTAGAAGACATGAAAAACGCTATATCGAAAGCAAGGATTATATGCAAATCCAAATAAAATGAAGGATACATTTTTATGCCAGTTTGTTTTCAAGAGCCTAGATGGTATTTTTGTGAAATTACAGTAAATGAACAATAATACTCCTTGCAATTGATACTGTGTAAAGAGGTCCCAAAACACTTCACATGGAATTGCTATCAAGTGTGATGAACTTAAGAGTTTCATCAAAACGACAGTATTAAGCGGGAAAAATAAAGCAAAATATTTCCCTTAATTTTGACTCACAAAGGAACAAACTGTGCATTTACTTTACTGCATCATTGCTTAAAGTGCTGAGATGAACTAGATAATTGGAAAGTAGGACAAGGCAAGCTCTTGTAACAAGAACATCACAGCAGGTGGCAGTTTCGGTCACTGTATGCCCCTATCAAGGATTTCAAAGAACACTTATCTATTGTGGAGCCTCAGTGTGTTTTCAAGTGCTAGTTGTACACCACTTTCCTTGGTGTTCTTTATCCTTTGCCTCCAGCACTCCTGAATATTATTTGAAGAATGTTTTCCGAGATAACTTCCTTAAGTTTATTGGTAATGTATTCAGAGTCCTTCAACCTTCCAGCGAAACTTGTAAAATAATTTGAGACCTACATTTTCTAGTCTCACTCTGAGTGTGTGGTTGCATACAGCCATAATTTTAGGATTTGTCAATAGGAAAAACTATTACTGGACCATTTTATCACCATACCTTTTCTACCACGACTGTTTGTGGGACACTGCTGTACGCAATTGGCTGCCGCGTTTCACCCCCAAATATACAGTCAATTCACAGTATATTCTGTGAAGCGCTTTGAGACATCTCGAAGACGTGAAAATCGCTATATCAAATGCAAGGATTATTATTTATGACATGTTATGAATCATGTGGTTTCACCAGTGTCAGCCTGGCTCAGTTGGTTGGTGAGATTTCATAACAGATTTCCTAATTAAGTTATGGATTATTTAAATAAGAAAATCAAGTGTCTCTTTTTCCATGGTGGGAATCAGGTCATCATGTTACTTCAATTTGAGGGAGCCTCATGCCAAATTAGATTAGTTTAGAATAGTTTTGTTTAGCTTGTATCACACATTAAGAAATGCCTCAACATTTCAAATTGGTTTCTTTTAGTTTGATCTGGACCATGAGATAACCAGGTAACGCTTAATTCATACTACGTTTCTTCCTTTCTTACTAAGGAAAGGGGAAAGACAGAAACAACTAGTGTTAAAAACATATTGCATAACCAGACCCAGTTGAGCTAAGAAATCACAATATGGACCAAAAGATAAGGGTGTGGGAGATGCCTGAAAACACGATTGCAAAGACTGGTTCTCAGGAGGATTTTCAACATGGGGAGGGGGAATTTCAGAAAGTCTGGTCAGAATAGCTGAAAGCTACTGGCTAGATTGCATGAAGCAGGCTGCTATTAGCTGAGCAGAGGGAGCAGCCAGATCTGTATGGTTGCAGAAGTTATCTCGGAAAACATTCTTCAAATAATATTCAGGAGTGCTGGAGGCAAAGGATAAAGAACACCAAGGAAAGTGGTGTACAACTAGCACTTGAAAACACACTGAGACTCCACAATAGATAAGTGTTCTTTGAAATCCTTGATAGGGGCATACAGTAACCGAAACTGCCATGGAGGAATTTAAAGGTGAGGGTGGGGTCTTGAATTCAATCCGCTGGGGGATGGTCAAGCCGAGGAACCTGCGTAGCTGAGCTAGGCTGGGGGGCGAATGAAGAGCTAGATTAGGGTTTGAACCCCTAGATTCATAAAGTGTCAAATACCTGACATTACCAGCACAGATTCAAACTGGAAGGCAGGAATGTGAACATTCAGTTTGTGGTGGACTATATCGATCCATTCTATAATAATAATCTTTGCATTTGATAGCACCTTATCACGTCTTTGAAATATCTCAAAGTGCTTCACGGAATATACTGTAAAGTGAAACGACTGTATATTTTTGTCAATGGAGCCTAGAAATGAATGTGGGTGCGGAGTTTAGTATGGGTGAGGATACGGGTGGTGGAGTTATTAATTAACTGGATTTTATGAATGGTGGAGCTGGGGAGACCATCTAGGAGGGCATTTAAAAATTGAGACAGGAGACAAGTGCACTATACCAATGAATGCTCCTCTGTGCTTCTGCACAAAGCAATCTCAGGTACAGTCAAAGAGGAAGTTATTTCTCCTGAAATACCCCAGTCTGTCTGACATGTCAAACGATGATATGTGTGCAATCTCAACCGTAGAGCTGCAGATCAGAGACAACCTAGGAAGAGATGATCTACGTGTTTGGAACTTCCCCATTTCCATGCCAGGCCGGAAAACTGCACTCCAGTGATTTCAGTCGGCAGTTATACATTTGTGGAACTTCCACATTGTGGTTACTCGGAAGCATGGTGATGGGTTTGCCACGCACGTCAGACACCTGACTGACCAAAAAATATGTCGCCAGTGGAGCAAATGGGCAGCGGAATGGTCGCTTCTAACTGAGAGTTATTAAACCATAAAATTCTGCAACATGGAATCAGTGAGAGAAAAACCAGTAAGCACACAGGTATTTCTACTCGTAACACTTCGGAGTGATGGGGAATTCAACAGGACACACCTTTTCTTCCAAAGCCAAATGAGTAACAAAACACTTACCCCACAGTTTTACATTTTTTTTTACAAAAACATTTTAAAAAATGACAGATGAGTAACTGGAATTACAGTTGCTGTGTTTACATCCCTGAGGGAACTAGACATAACCCACATAAGAACATTATTACTCAGGAGTTATGAGGTCAGCCTGCTCCTGTCATGCAATACCGTTGTACAACAATGCATTTCACATATCATTCTTTAAATGAGGGATATTAGTTAATAAGAGATGATTTGTACAGCAGACTTTACAGCAATTTTAAAATTAATCATGTACATATTAAAATTCTGTCAGCAATCTGTACATCTTCACAGAGATAAGTTCTCAACATGTGCAGAGGCCTGAATGTTTATTACCTCACCAGAAAGTTTCCACTCCCTTTTGTATGTGGCTGATGATTGAGTTTTTGGCTGGGGAAAGACTTCAATTCTGAATAAAATTTGAATGACTATCAACCGTTGCAAGGAGCTACAAATGGATCTCCTTTGTGGCAACATTCAAAAGAGCTCTGACAGATATCATTCTTTTTTACTTTAAGTAACCCAAGCCTAATTTAATGTAAGGAAGATCACACTCTGAATCATACCGATTGAAACACTGAAATTGTTCAGTGAAATCTAATTGGTTGGATTAAAATGGAGCTGAGATTAACCACTGAGCGTGTAATTGTCTGCTTTGATTTCACACTTCCCTGAACTGCAGTTTTGCTCACTGCCTAACAGCATCCGAGTGACACAAGGACTAGATAGATACCTACCCTCGCACAGCGTGGATGAGTCGAAGGGATGGATAGGCTGTCTGGATGCTCAGTTTGTTCTTTAGAATTAGTTCGTTCACCCACTCCACATGCCTTTCTCCACCTTTAACCATGAACGCAGGGATCCACAGAACACTGTCATTCAGTACCGCCAGTCTGCGGACAAAGTTTTCTCTGTCTGTCTCATTCTGGAGACTTCCAAAAGCTCTTTGCACGACGGATGGATTCATAGTGACAAAGTCAGATTTGGATCCAACATCATCAGTGTATTCCACAAGAGGAGCAAGGTTACACCTAAAATTAAAGAAGAGTTTTCTCCAATTACCATATTTATTAGTATTTGTAAATAAATAGACAGTGGAAATGATTAAAACTCACCAGCAGCTTGTTCATAAAAATGTTAAAGATGCATTATTAATGTTTTTGGTGGGTAAGTCAGGTGTCTGACACATGCAGAAATCCATCACCAAGCTGAGAATTCCATGTATCCCACCTACACATGGAAATCCCAGATAGATTGTTGGAACGGTATGTACACTCTCTCCCTGGAAGGACACATCCTGCTTACCTAATTCTGGAAAGTATTAGGCACAGGTTGGCAAGAGCCAAGGCTTGGGAACCTCAGATTGTGAGTTGGGGTTCTGCTGGAGTCTAACCAGCTAAAATCGCATAGCTTACCATTAATAGTACTGCCTTTCAAGCAGAAACCCTGCTTATCTCCTCCCACACCCAAGGAGGATAGTCACTCGTTATAATAATAATGATCCTGGCATTTGATATAGTGCCTTAGCACCTTAGTTGTTGAGCTGTCTCATGTACTTCAACTGAATAAAAATATCAGACATTCATTGAATTGACTGTATATTTTATGGGCGAAATGCAACAGTCAATTGTGCACAGCAATGTCCCACAAACAGCCGTGGATTGAGCGACCAAATTATTATTCTTTTTTAAGGGATTATTACCCCAGGAAAGCGATCCACTAACTGACTAACAACCGGGTTCCTACTTACTGCTAGGTAAACAGAGGCATGTGGAGTAAAGAAACGTGACCAAGATTTCGCCCTGCCTTGAAATTGAAGCCCAGGTCCACTCGCTTGCGAGCTGAGTGCTATAACTAATACACGACAGGTCAGTTGGTCGTTTAACATCCAACAAACGCAGGTTTGAGCCCTCACTAGGTGGATGGTAGGTAACAGGAACTCCCTACGAGCTTCCTGGTAGGCAACACAACTCAGCATGAAACATGTGAGAGCATTAATAATAATAATAATGACTGATGCAATAACTAGCTCAAAGATTTTGTGTGGGATAAACCTGAAGCACAGGACAGAGTTATATAGCAAGAGATTTAAGATGAAGCTGTCAAAGTAAGCTCGCTCCATGTCACCAAGTAAATAGATATCTGATGTTTGGATAAAGTAATAAGTTAACCTGGAATGACATGAGCAATTTAAAAGGGGAATGAAATGTTTGCTACAGATAACAAACACAGCAATGATAGACCCCAATGTCAGTAAATATCAGACATTTCATTGCATCAGCAGGCATGACCAAACTTATACAAAGTGCACATGTTTTGGAACAATCCTAACAAGACTAATGCACTTCATAAACGTGAAAGTCTTTACAGAATATATGACATTCCATTAACAAGCACTCAATTTTCTTTTATTTGCATTTACTTGGAGTTAAGGGTTCAAAGATACATTAAGTGATTTGATTTAAAGCAACTTATCTCAGAAGGAATGGTTTCCAATTTATTGTCTGAGCTGGAAATGCATGCGCTCAATATGTCTTAGTGATGCATTTTTATAGGAGAAGTAATTTAATTCTCTCTCCCCTCCCACTAAACATTGCTGCTGCATGTTTCATATTACTTCCATTCGCCATTCGAGAAGCTGGAGCACATAATAATAATATTAATCCTTGCATTTGACATAGCGCCTTGATATATAACCAGTGTGGCAATTTTACTGGCCCACCTCAGTCATAAGTGCATTAGTTATCAACATTGAGTTGGGCTCATGATGGTTGGTGAGCATGTAAGTAGGCCTTCTGATTTTGGGGGTTTGTTAATTTGATTTTTTTTAGCAATTTTAGAGTGTTTATGAATCAGGGTTTTTCAGGGCTTTTGTTACTGTAATGAGAAGTTGCGCCTGTGCACACAGAGGGGAGAGACACATCCTCACTCTTGTGTGTTGCCTCCCTCCTCTCACATACAAACACTTCACCAGACCCGTCTGTGCACATGGAGAGGAGAGAGGTGCCCTCACGCATGCACAGTGCTTCCTTACTCTCAGAAACACTTAACCAGACATGTCTTCGCACACAGAGGAGAAGGAGAGGCAGAGGGCAAGCATTTAGCACATCAGGATGCTGCTGAGAGTAAGTAGAGAAAGAGAGAAAATCTCACCTCAGAGTTAAGTAACCATTTCCAGTGGTCTTCGAGTGGTTATTGGATAAACACAATTTATTTTTTGTATCGGGGGGTTTATCAGTTAAAAACAAAAATCAGAAGCACTACATATAAGGCACCATTGATGGCAATGCACAGCGCAGAAGGAGGCCATTCAGCTCATCGTGCCTATGCTTGCTCTCTAATCTCATGATATGCAAAGGGTTCTGGGGCACTGTGTCAGCTCTCAGTTTGAAGCTGGTACAAATCTATTGCTGGGTCAACACCTTTGGTAAGATTTCCTGCACGTCAACACTTGATTTTAGTGCCACGTTTACCAATTAGTAACCTAAACATAGAAGCAAATTCAAAATTGAACTGGGTAATGAGAACAAAGTGAAAAATATCAGAACTTTGCACAGTGGGGGTTCTGAGGTTGGGGGAAGTGGGTAATTGCTGGAGGGAATGTTTTTCTGCCTTTAGCCGGTACTATTTTCACCTGAGAGTACTTTATGTTGAATAAAAATGCAAATCATTTCTATCCCCCAGCACTAACAGCCTGACAAGAAAAGTTTCCCACAAATAACATTGATTCTATTTATTTAAACTCACTTGTTTTTTTCTCATGTACTGCAACATAGAATGTTTTTTTATTAGCCTATTGGACTATTTGTTGGATACGATAACAACCTTTATACTCCTGCAGTCTTTCAGAGTGCAGGAACTGCTTAGCAAGGATGGTGTTTAGTCCATTACAAGCCAGTAAATACATTTGATAGCTTTTACTTGCGGTCTTGTTATAAATCACTCTTAACATTAAAGCAGGAACAAAGCCAATAGCAAACAGAAAGAAGGAATGCTGATATAGAGATGCTTCCCACCTCATCTTAAATGGAAACCCTGGCAATACAAACCTTAAATTATATTTTATAAAATTAAGAATTAATGTGATGTACCTCAAAAGTCTAAACCATTAAAGCAAAAGCCAGGAACCCGATTAAATCGTTTTTGTGAGCCTAAATATTTTCTTTAGGGAAAATTGGGCATTAACATTTACCTTGGTTGAAAAATTATACTTTTCTTATACCAAAGATGAGAGGTTTGGATAAAGAATGCCCTTTGGCCCATTTGGATTCCATCTTTCTATAACAGAACCAAACTGTTTCTTAAATTAGTCCATTGTTTGGGTTCAATCACGCTATCTGGCAACCTATATTCCAGCTGTTGATTACCCTCTTTGTAAAGAAATAAAGAAATAAGTCCCAAAGTTGCCATTCACAAGCTTAAAACTCTGACCTCTTGCCCTGCTGCTTCACTTACTTAGATTCACTATTGGCTGTATTTTATTTGTGTGTCGTAAGTTTTGGACTTACTAACAAGTGGAAACAGCCTATCAAAATCCACTTATGGAATCCTTTCGTAATCTTAAACATTCAGCATATCTGAAAGCAGTCTTCCGGGTTTAATTTTCCTATGGCATTCAAGCATCTTTTCAAGAGCCCTAGCTCAGCATTTTTTATAACTTATAACATGGTTTTGCCCACAATATATACAGTCAATTCATTTTACAGTATATTCTGTGAGAATTCTTGAAGACGTGATAAGTAAGGCGCTATATCAAATGCAAGGATTATTATTAGTAGTAGTAGTAGTATCTCTCTAATACAGGGAACAAACCTTGCTGCTCTCTTATGTATTGCCCCTAGGACTGAACAGTGCTTTTATGCCATGTACAACAACTTCTATTTATAAAGTGCCCTTCACCAAGGATAGCATTTCAGAGTGACGCAAAACTGTAGAGTTGGACACCAAGCAAGGGAGAGGGAGGGGGAAGGTGACCATAGGGTCGGTCAAAGAGGTAAGTCAATATAGTAACTAATATTGGGATGTGTGCAGAAATTTTCTGCACTCAGCTGAGAAGCACTTTTTAGCACTTGAAACCATAGGCTCACTGATCTAGCAATAAACAACATGCTGAATAAAACAAAACTTGACTGCTGGGAAAGGCAGTTTTGTTTTAAAAGTTTAGGATCCAGCTCCGTACTGATATTTGGGAATAGAAATTCAGCAAAACTGAACTATCCCCAAACTCTATGTCCAGCATTCAAAAGAAAATGACCTTAAAACCAAGATTAGAACCTGAACTAAAATTGTTCCTAAATTGAGCACTGGGAGCCTGTAATGTCCTCACAAATTTCAATGTGTTAGAGGTCCACTAATGTAAGAACACCATCTGTAAAAACACCTCCAACTTTGATCTTAAGCATTTTTTGTCTACCCCTTTTTTTTCTCTTCTCTGACGGTGCTGGGTTTTGGTTCTCTGGGTGCCAGACCCCCCTGGATACTTCTCCCAAATGGCTATTGATCACGCGAGCCCAAAGCATGAGTGTGAACAAATTATTAACCAAATCCTGTCTTCACTCTGTGTTCATTGACATGTACTTTCCAGCAAAGATCACCAGACATCAATCAGGAGCTGGATCCCTGGTTGACTATTTCCCTTTCCTAGCCCAGGGCACTGATGCCAATCAAAGACTCCTTCTGCCACTCAGGCTTAATTCTCTGCAGACCAAGAATAGGCGTCTGGTTGGCTCAACATGTCTGGGAGTGAAATTACCAAATGTAATTTACATTTCTGCCATCAGTTTCATAGTTGCCAGGGTTATGTTTACAAATATGATAATTTCTGTGAGCTTTCCTTGGTCTATTTCTTTGCCTAAACAAGAATGAATATAGACTTCCTGCTTCTAACTACCACATTTATCCAGATTGGATAAGCTTCACCAGGCTCCCAATTGTTGGTTTAAGTCTAATAATTTCCAAGCTATCCAAAATTGGATCTACAGAAGGCACACAACAGTAAAACGTTTCATTTGAGTTCCCAAACATCTGGCAGTCTTTGTCCAGAATTAAATAGGAGGCTTTGCAACAAAAGTTCATTTCAAACTCATCAGGGGGATTTTAGTGTAAGATTACAATGGAACTCTTTTGGTCAATTATGGCACACAATAGAATAATGAAGAATGTAATTTTCCCAGAATTATGAGGTCTTGATCACAGCTGAGTATGAGGCAAGGCAGCAAAAAAGATCAAACATTTCCTGTCGGAAGAGAGAAAATGTGAACACACATCAACTTGGGTGCATTTCCTAGCGACAGACCAGGTGCAGCATTGACAGATGCCTGAGAGCATGTTGGCTGTCTGTTCACCCATTCAGTCAGTAAATGGTCCCTGATACAAAGCCAGGTTTGCAAGAGAGATAGACAGATTCTCGGGCAGTAGAATATTAAGGCCTATGGCAAAAGCTTGGGGCAATTGGGATTAAAAGATCTGAGAAAATCCAATAAACTGGTGGAACAGACTTGATGGGCTGAATGGCCTGTTCCTGTTTCCCTATGGCCCAGGAAAGACGGAATAACTTCAAATGATATGGGAAAAAATAAAGATCAAGACAGCTTTATTCAAAGAGCAAAATATTCTTCATTCAGCTAGAAATAGTGACATTGATAGTTGGGTGTAATATGGGATGATTTACAATGCGAAAACTGTGCATGTCACGCTGATGGCTTGTAGGACAATACTGTATGCAAAATGGCTGCTAGGTTTACCTGCATAAATAGTTACTACACTTGAAAGTAATTACTGTTCAAGCACTGTCATATAGTTCAACATGATAGTAAGATGTTACAAAAATACAATTCTTCCTTTCAGACTCCAAATGGGACTATTTATTCTATCTACCTCAACAACAACAACAAGATTCCATTTATAGAGCGCCTTTCACGTCAGGAGGACATCCCGAGGCGCTGGACAGCTGGGTCAGGACCCGAGCAGGGGAGAATTGGTCAGGGTGAGGGGGGGGAAGGGAGGGAGCGAGGAGGGGGTAGAGAGTCGAGAGGGGAGCTGAAGGCACGGTCAAAGAGAAAGGTCTTGAGACCGGCCTTGAAGGAGGAAAGGGAGGAGGCGGCGAAGGCACTGGGGGATGGAGTTCCAGAGCCTGGGGGCTGAGAGGCTGAAGGCCCGACCACCGATGGTAGGGCGGTTGGAGCGGGAGATGTGGAGCTGACCGGAGCCAGAGGAACGGAGGGTACGGGCAGGTAGGTAGGGGGATAGTAGGTCGGAGAGGTAGGAGGGAGCATGGCCGTGGGTGGCCTTGTAGGTGAGGATGAGGATCTTGAAATCGATCCTCTGGGGGATGGGGAGCCAGTGGAGGCGAGCGAGGGTGGGAGTGATGTGGTCGCGAAGCCTGATGCGGGACTGTACACAAGCTGCAGAGTTCTGAATGACCTGCAGCTTGTGGAGGGAGGTGCCGGGAAGGCCGACGAGGAGAGAGTTCCCATAGTCCAGCCTTGAGGTGATAAAGGCGTGGACCAGAGTTTCAGCAGCGTGAGGGGTGAGGTAGTGCCGTAGTCTGGCGATATGTCGGAGGTGATGGAAGGCGGTGCCAGTTGTGGCGCGGATATGAGGAAGAAAGGACAGCTCAGGGTCGAACAGAACGCCGAGGTTCCTGACTGCCTTTGAGAGGTGGAGAGTGCAGCCTTGGATGCTGATGCTGTCAGCGCCTGAGGTGCGGAGGCGCTGACGTGAGCCAATCAGGAGGGCCTCAGTTTTGCGCACGTTGAGCTGAAGAAAGTTGTCTCTCGTCCAGGACTCGATGTCGGACAGGCAGCTGTCAGGACATCGGTGGTCGTGGAGTTGAGGGTAGAGGAGGAAAGGTAGAGTTGGGTGTCATCCGCATACATGTGGAAGTTAACCCCATGTACCTCAATAATAAGGCTTAGCTAGTTTTCTTGGTTATCAGACTGCTTTACATTAATTTACTTTGCCTTATTAACTCGATCAGTGTGTTGTAAATATTACAAACGAATCTCTTTAAGATCGAACATTTAATTACTGAGTTTTGCAAATTTGTCAGATTCTAAGTTATATTTTGTCCCTATTTGGCTCTCTGATAAAAACAGGTTTTCCCAGATCAATGAGTTTTCCACACCTAAAAATAGTATTGAAGACACACTATGTACAAGCTGGTGTGGATTGGCTCACTATTCAGTGTTCTGCATCACTTTCCTGCTAAGCCTGTATGAGCCCCTTTCCCCAGAGATAGTGCCAGGGACCAGTAATTCCCGAGAAACCACCATTTGGGGATTGCCATATCCTCCCGTTGACTGAGGTAGCTCATTAGTAGCTCAGCACGGCACCAGCAGCTGTTACATGTTGTGGTGCTTTTTTCAACCCACCACTGAGCTGCTGAAGGTTTGAACTTGTGTGTTTGGTCCATAAGTTTCTGAGTATTACAGACCGAGGCAGTCAATTGCAGGAAGGACTGTGATTTCAGCCAATGCTGCAAACCTAATCATGACTTTTATATTTGGAAATACAGAGGTATAGTTACAGTTATAATGGAAATATATTGATTCATTTCTTGTGATACATTTGCTTCCCAAAATCAGTCATTACACTTAACAATTACTGTAGAGCTCTGAGATGTTTCAATATGATATGGGAGGATAAAAATGCAAGTTCTTTTATTCTATTAAATTCTTGACATTAATAAATAAACCCACACCTTTAGACCCAAATGTCATGAGTCCTTCCTGCCTGAAGTCACTAACGTTAGTGAAAAGGCAGAGGTGTGCAAACAGAGGCAGAATGTTATGAGTCAACGCTAACGGTTGATTCTTTCTTCTTCCTCAAAATTGCTGCACCTCTGAAACCAGCAATAAATGTCTCATTTTGGAAGGAAAACAGTGGGAAAATCAATTTCCCTTGTTGCACTCTTGTGACAGCCAATAAAGAGGAATTCTTTCTACAATGCACAGCCAAGGACACACAAGAGAGTTACAGATGCTAGGTCAGACCGGGAGTGGTGCATTGAATGGAAGAAAAACAAATTGTAAAATGCCAATACCAACTCGTGAATTGAACTGCCCTGAGGAGTTGGTCACCGAAGGTCATAGTTGCATTACCATCAACTGGTATTTGTAATTTGGGAATGTTTTTTGTGAGATAAGTTGTTTTCGATAGCTTGGCTGAGGACCCAGTTGCCATCAAACGTTAAACAGCCCCTGACTTACAACCTGCTCTGCTCATTTCCAAGAGCATGCAGTGTAAGGAAAATAAGATAAACTGGAAAATAAGGAAAAGGATAGGCAGCAACATCTGCTAAAAGGTAACAGTAAGAAGCAAGAAATAGTCTTGGCTCATCATCGTGTATTTCTATTATGCCTAGGTAAAAAGACTACTATTCGTAGAGGATCTTTGTTGACTTCAGTGGCAGAAATGGAGACTGTAGGAGGCGACGTACCTTATTACAAACTCATGGCTGTCAATCTCCTTTCCACATCCGCTACCCAGAAGAATCCCTGAATTTCCAACGACTGCACAAGCGTTGAATCGCTTGTTCTTCATCGGCGACACTTCTGGCAGAAGGCTGTGCAGGTTGCGTGAGATGTTAAGTGTGCGACGTCTGTCCAGCACATAATGAATTATATCCCCAGGTTTCAAGCTGCTCTTGACCACTGATATGTCTCGTTCTGCATCTAAAAATCGAAGAATATCCTTCCTGTGTTGGGAAGAAATGACATTCTCAGGAAAGTGATTAAATTGCTTCCCTTTTTTGTTCCCTATGGCATAGTTCCTTCAACAAAACCTTTGCCCGTTCCTATTTTTTATTATTATTGTTAACCATTAATAATAAAATAGCTTTTGTCAATGCCTCGTCTGATTCATAACACGGTATAAGAAAATGTGAGCACTTTGAAAATGTTCTTCACACTTTTGCTGCATTAGGAAAATATGAGGCAAAAAGGGAGAATGTGTTATTGAACAGCATAAGGAAATTACACCTTTAAAATTCTGTGTGATAAATAATCTTTGTAATTGATATAGTATATAACAGTGGTTAGAGCATTCGCCTTGGAAGCGAGACTCCTGGGTTCAATTCCCGGCAGGGCGAAACCTTGGGTAAGTTTCCTTACTCCACACGCCTAATAATAATCCCTCCAAAACAAAAAAAAAAATTGGTAATTTTCAATCTACGACTGTTTGTGGGACACTGCTGTGCGCAATTGGCTGCTGCGTTTTGCCCACAAATATCCGGTCAATTCACTTTAGTCTATTCTATGGAGCGCTTTGAGACGTCGAGAAGATGTGAAAAGTGCTATATCAAATGCAAGGATTATTATATATTATTATTATATTTCACAACAGGAGGGCATCTCCAAGCAGTTCAAAGGATTTAATGTAAAGTGTAGTGACTGTGTATTTTGTTGCTGAATAATGCATTAAGATTGCTAAACTGTGCAATAAATGACCATACAATGCATCTGTGTGATCTGTGTAAATGTAAAAAGGTGTGGTCCTGGATCTCCCCATCCTCCCCTTACTTCACTGCAGTAGCTACTCATAATTACAATGCTTCCCGGTATAATAAAACCTCAGAAGAAGCATTTACACGTTTTAATTTCCTCCCTAATAGCAAACTCCTATAAAACCACGCCTCTCACTGAGACACTTACCACTAATTCAAAACTCTTTCAACATGAAGCACTTTCCCATTTTTAAACAGGTTGTCTCTACATTTATTTCTCTCCTGAGTATTAATTTTAATGGTATTCTGTCACCACAGCAACAAATCTTCCAAAACAATTCACTCTACTTCTGTGCTCATTTTGCCAATCACTATTTGTTAGCTAATTGCACATAGTGGTACAATCTTTTCTATTACAATAGTTTCAATTTTATTGTTCTACAAACCTTGCTGTACTACCAAGGCACCACTGACTCATTTCACTTGGGTATAGATTTATTTTATTAATGTAGTATTTTAGAGTGTAGTACTTGGCAAATTGTTGATTTCAGTTGTTGAAGCGGGTACGAACTTACAGAAAACCGGCTTCAAAACTGAACATCGTGTTTAGAAATCGAAAAACCTTGAACACGGAGATGTTCGATTTCAAGATCCTTATCCTCAAGTCCCTGCACTCCTCTGCACCCCCCTACCTCTCCGACCTCCTCTCTCCTCAGCACTTTGTTCCTCCGGGTCTGGCCTCCTCCTTGTACCCCGAGTCCTCCACTCCACCCTCGGCTGCCGTGCCTTCAGCCACTATGCCCCGAGGCTCTGGAACTGCCTTCCTCACTCCTTCGCCTCGCTCCCTCTCTTCCCATTTTCAGGTCTCTGCTGAAGACCTTTCTTTTCAACCGCGCCTTTGGTCACCTTCCTCCCCCTCCCCCTGGCTCATCCCCGGGATCCTAAACTGTAAAGCGCTCTGAGACGCCGTCCGGCATGGAGGCCACTATATAAATCCAAGTTGTTGTTGTTGTTATGTTAAAGTAAAGCCAGAGCCAAGTTGAATTTTTATCCAATCATTCCCTATTCCACTGTATCATTAGTTCGCAAATGGTGTCCTTGACACTTTTTTAAGAAGTATGTTACTGCATTCCCTACCGTATTCCAAGAATTTTTTAACTTTGGAACTGGGCAGAAGAATCTCAGCAGTGCTTTCTTGTCCTGTGCATCCTATAACAGTGGATTACATTGAAAACTGACCACCTCTTTATTTTCTTTTATACCATAGATTTTTTTTGCAGAATCTAATTGGACAAGTAACTACACTTATACAAAATAGAGTTAACCTTACATTATGTTACATATTTCCAGCCTACACTGACCTCCTGCAACACATTCTTGGTCAGTGCTGTACTATTCAAATTATTTCATGTTAAGTTACATGTTATGTTAAGTACATTACCATTGCCTGATACTATGGGAATGTATTCTGCCTGCAGTAGAGCAATGTAAATCAGCAATGTAGATTTATACTGTTGGTTTTGCATTGGGCTCTGAATACCGTTAAATCTAGCCAAGTGCTCTAGTAATTTATGATTAAATGTTGTCTATATTTTAGCAGAAGTGAAGACTCAGTACAATTTTCAGCTGTTCACAGATGTTAAAATAAGTGTAAAACCACATTATAAGACCCGCCCTAATAACATATAAGCTGGGCCAATCGAAAAGTGCGGCTGCACTTTTTCTCGTGGAAAACGCTACAAATGCCCTCCTCTGCTACACATCTGTACACACAAATGCCCCGCAATATTTGGTAAATATCTCCTCATTTTTCTATTGGCCCAGGTTATAAGATGGGTGCTCTGTGGACCCAACATTCACTTGAGTGTCGGTCAGGTTTCCCTGCACTAAAACGTGGCTGACTTTTGGAACATCAGGTTAGTACCTATGTCGCTTCTGCATGTTGTGTGAAAGAAGGAAGCTTAGATCAGTGATCACACCCCATTATAAGGTGGGTTACCATTCGATGAACCTTATAATAGGGTTCAATTGTACTTGGTATTGCACAATCATTGGGGAAAAATTTTACCTTGGTCTAGAGTTACTCTAATTAAATTTATTTATGGAGCACTTTAGCTGCTTCCAGAAACTGGCAAATTGTAGAATTGAGGCTTAACTTTGAGGTTGTTTTTCTATAAGAACTTATAGTAAGCCAGCTTCAAAATTAAAGCTGTATTTAAGAATTTGCCAGAGTCTTGATCTTCTAAAATGCTGTGTAAACAGAGTAAATCTACGCCGAGGTGGAATTTCATAGCTTTTCAGCAAATTATTTTTGTTGTACGAAGTTGAACACAAAACAGCACATAGAACTGATACAGACTCTGCAGTGTACCTGGCTTTCTAGAAAACAGAGACCTCTTTCAGAGAAATTCTGATGGACTTTGGAAGAGTGAATGGAGCTTTACTCTCTTATTCACAGCACCAGTCATAGAGACTCAGTTTTGTTACTTGCAAATGCTCTGCTTTCTGGCTCTCTGTAATTTTGATATACGGGTGTTGAAAGATGAATAATTTTCAGCATGCAGACTTTTTTGAAACAGTCCGTGCTTGAAAATATCGGTGGATTAAATCTAAACTATGTTGTGAAGGTAAAGAAGGTCACAGATCTCACAGGCACCATAAGGCATGCCTGTTTTTTCAATTAATTGTGCTGTTGAATAATTATTATTTTTAAAAATTGCACTTGATCATTTGATATCTTGCTTGTTCGCATTGAAGTTCCTCAATATGCTTCACACAATAAGTAACGTTGAAATGCCATGATTCGTTATGTAGGCTAACATAGCAACCAAACGGGACCAGCAAAATCCCACTAACAACAATGTTTTGGGGAGAAATTCCATCTCAGTATTTAACATTTCAGACCACCCAAGCATTTGGCAAACTCTTAAATACAGGCTTCATTTTGAAGCTGGTTTTCTGTAAGTCGTAGAGACAACAGAAAACCTGACTTCAAAATTAAGACTGTATTTAAGAATTTGCAAAAATTCTGGACACCCTGAAATAATAAAAAGAAGAATCTTTGCACTTGATATAGCGCCTTATGACGTCATTGAGAAACCTCAAAGCACTTCACAGAATATACTGTAAAGGAAATTGACTATATATTTTGTGGGCAAAACATGGCAGCCAATTATGCAGTGTCCGACAAACAATTGTGGAATGAAATTCTACATAAATGGAGTATATCTTACCCTGATGGAATTTTTCATTCGGTGAATTAGGATCAGGAAATAATATGTTAGGACACTGGGAGAATTCCCTGCTCTTCTGCAAAATAATACTTTGGGATCCTTAGCATCCACATGCGTCACTGCAGCAGGACCTCAGTTGAACATTCAGTTGGGAGGATGGAGGTCTCATCTGAAGCATAGGCTGGCAGACAATTTACAAGATATTTTATCTAAAAAAAAGTTTCATTTGATGTACTATTCACACTGGCTCCATGAATAGCTCATGAAAGAAATATCGTTTAGGGCAGAGATGCTGCATGAATTTAAGACTCAATCCAGCCCTGAGGGTATTTTCAACCTGACTGAGGACCACAACTGGAGACAGGAGAGATTCAGCTTATATGGAGAGTATTAAACTACACTCCACTACATGTCATAACCTTCATTAATACTCAATTAAAAATAAATTAAATGAACCACTTTATTTCCTTATAACAAACTCTTCTTCCATTTGTTTCAACTGAATATAAATTAGCCACCGTATTCGCAAACCAATACACATTCACTATAGTAATATTCTGAAAATATCCTGTGAAGGGTTTTCAAACATCTCAACAATATAATATGAGATTATGTCAAAAACAATGATTATTATTATAATCTTATAATAATAATCTCATTATAATATTAATATATATTAAGGTTGCAAATTCAGTCCCTGGTCCGTGCCGAAATAGAGGCAGTAGTGGGTTATTATGACAAGCCTGCGTGTCCCCACACCATGGAAGGAAAAAAATGAGATATGGGAGAACTGACGGTACTTGTAAAACTAATTCCAGGAGGAGTCACCCATTGGCTTCACAAGAGGGGAGAAAACTGAAGAGAGAAATGAGGTGTATCCATCCTACAGCTCTTTATATTTAGTCTATTACATTTTCTCCCTTCAGTTATTCTTGCTAATTCTGAAAAACACGCATGTGTCATCTGGAGCTATGAGAATCAGGATTGTTACTACTGTTCTGTGCTTTTGTGTGACGTGTTAATAATAAGGCTCATGACAGGATGTTCCTATTTGCAGGCACTTATTGTGGTAGACAGTATCTCCTGGCACAACCATTTCCTCTAAATCCTCACTGGTAAACAAATGCTTGTGAACTGCAACTGAAATCTTCAATACCTTTCCTTGTTGCAATGGCCCTCAATATTGGGAGCGCAGGCAAAGAGACATTTCCTTAACAATGTTACCACTGCCTTCTAGGGAGGGGAACAATATTTAAAGGAAATAAATGTCATTGTTTTCATTCTCAAAACCCCAGGTGGCCTTCTGCTGTTAGCAGGATTGCTCAGCTAAATACAACAAAATCAAAATTGACCCTCTTAACTATCCCTTCAGCACTGCACTAGTCAGAATACAAGGTGTTCTTTAATCCCAAGAAACTCCTTATGTGTTAAGCACATTTTGAGCCAATTAGTCTTAAACATAAATTGCTTTAGCAAAATACATGACAGTTACATTTTAGGCACGATATGATATATATGTTTTTAGCACTTCATCATCCCTCACTAAATGACTACAATATGACATTTTTGTTATGTGCTTATTTCAATGTTTTGAGAAAATCAGTACAGAATCTAGACTGAAAATATTAATGTAAATCCTAATCCTTATTTATCCACCTTGTCTAAATAAACACATGATACTGTATTAACTGCAGCAACTGTTATGGGAGTTCTTTCACAATTGTGGAAATGCTCAGACCACATTTTCTTGTCTTTCATGCAAGAATCTTTCTAATGTCAATAGTGTAATACTTTGTTCTGATACACCGGTCTTTTCAAATGTGCCCCAGAGTACTAGTTATCCAATAGTTGCAGTTACAGATCATTTTGAATTTTATTGAAGCCAAGAAATTAATAGCATTCAAAGAATAAAGCAAATTGTTGGGCATGAGTCGGTGGGATAGTGAGATTCTGCTCTTCCACCTCCTGCAGCGCTTGAATAATTCCCCAAATCACATTTTTTCTGCCAATCTTCACCCTTTCCTCCTTTTAAACTTCCCCCAGGGCACTGGTTTCTGTTTGTGTGGTTCAACAGCTGTTGGCCACCTTCTGGTTCTTCATGCAAACAGCCATTCCTCATTCTCAGCCAGCATGGTGAGCACTGGCAGACTATTTGCCCATGGGAGAGGAGACATCACAGTTGAGCCCAATTCTCTTTGCACCCAATATCCACACAAACATACATTCCGGTAGAGCCCACTTAGTAGTGAACAGAAGCTGGAATACTGGCTGATTTTCTCTGAGAGAAAATCTCCAATTTCTCCAATTGCAACATCCAAACTGTTGCCCAACTAATTCCAGCCAAATGGGATTTCAGCCTTCAAATTCTAAATCTGTACGGCTTGGTGCTATTTCAAAGAAAAGTGGATTTTTTTTTAAACTAGGTTACAGCATGTCATCTTTTATTCCTTTCTTATCCAAATTCACTTCCAATTCTAATTAATGGTTCACTTATCAAATTATTATTGATATTAAATTGCCTGTCCAACTTAGGTGCCACGTTTGCCTCCATAATAGCATTCATTCACTTTGTTAATAATTCATCTTAATTTTGTAAAGCGTTTCAAGACACTTCTTTTACATGAAAGGTGCTATATAAATGTAACCCATTGTAATTCTAACATTGTTTCACTTCAGAAAACACAGAGACACTAAGTGTTACCTGCCTTTACATTACAGAGCTGTTCTCAAATCAGAGCCCTACAGAATTTTATCTGATTACATTGCACTTGCTCAGTTGTTTGGAAGTTATGAATGGTCATGTTTATTTCTGACCATTAATCTACCCCGATGTCTGGAGAACGTCTGTACAGGTCAATGTTGTGACTCTTCCCCAATGCCTGGGGAATGTCTGTCATACAATATGATGAAAGGAACAATTAATAGGTCAGAGCTGTGGCTCTTCCCGCTCTCTATATACAGGCCATTGCTGTGGACCTTATCCTTTGTGTTTAGTGTATCTGTACAGACTGGTGCTGGTAGATCTTACCCACTGTCTAGGAAGTGTCTGTTACAGGCCAATAAACCTGTAAATCCATTTTATCTTAAAATTTAAGATCGTACAGAATTGAAGAAAATTTTGGAATTCAGTCTCAATTTTAAGATGGTTTATTTTAAGAAAGGGTAAAAAAAAACTGCTTTTGAATTTAGACCAAATTAAAGAATTTTCCCAAATTTAATGTAATTCTTAAAATTTTAAAATAAAGTAATCTTGTAGGCGAAAGTCAGGTAGAATTTCAGACACCATGTGTCCTCTATCCTAGATTCGCTATATTTTCAGATTCTATCTCACAAACTCAATATTCCTCCAACTCCTGTGCTATAAAATCGATATTCGATGTCACATGGCTTTATCAAATAGAAATGGAAACAATGCATCGTAATAATAGGAAAATAATTATCCAAGAAAATAAGCATGTTATCTATGTCACAATAAACAATAACAGATACACTTCAGTAAATTTAAGGCAGTGAATCAATTTTGGGGATCAAGAAATAATTTCTGCCTTTCAGAAGCAAAATAATAATAATAATCCTTGCATTTGATATAGCGCTTTTCACGTCTTCTAGACGTCTCAAAGCGTATCACAGAATAGACTGTAAAGTGAATTGACTGTATATTTGTGGGCAAAACGCAGCAGCCAATTGCGCACAGCAGTGTCCCACAAACAGTTGTGGTTTGAAGTGACCAATTTATTATTGTTTTATTTTCTTGAGGGATTATTATCAGACGTGTGGAGTAAGGAAACTTGCCCACGGTTTCACCCTGCTGGGAACTAAACCCAGGTCTCCCGCTTGCAAAGCGAGTGCTCTAACCATTGAACTACAGGTCTCCAAAATAGATTCTCTGGGTTTGCAAATCCCTCTGCAGCCCATTATTAAGTTTGGCTTTTGTACTGAAGGTTGAGGAGGTGGGTCTGAGATATTCTCTTTATTTTTAGTAACATTATTATCCAGTTCACTGCATTTTAATTTCAGTTGAAAACTTGCAAAAATTGTGAGTAGCAATTTACACTGGGATTTGACTGCAAGCCTTATTACAATTATACCTCTATCTCCATTATATCCCTGAACTCTTGTCTCCAAGTGGTTTAACAAGCCAAGTGACTCATAACCAGGCAGCCACCTGCTACATTACCACATCTACAATTTAGTTTGTTTTAATTGCTAAATTGTTTCACAGAGGCAGCAAAAGTATAAAGAGGTTTCACAGCCCTATGGACACTCCTGTATTAATATGAACTATTTGAAGAATACCCAAGGTCAATTAAACACATCCCATCATCACTACTCATGCTACCCAATATTACACATCACACTAGTTCCTAAAATGTGAAATGTTCCGCTTCAGGTCAGGTATTTTCTCTGCGGCGGAAGGAAGGAGGATTATATGCCGATTGGAAAAATGACAGCAATATGAAGGATTTATTGCAAGCAACTGATACCCCAAGCAGAATCTCTCCATCTCTCTCTGGCGTCTTATTTATTTTCAACTCTGAACAACAACTGGTGCCAGTTTGAGAAATAAGTAAATGATAACTTATCAAACTCCTAAGGTCATGCTGACACCAAAGTTACCTTTACTGAGTTTTGTTGAGTGAGTGAGTTTTATTGAGTGATTGTGGAGTGATAAACTGCTGAAAAATACCATTTTATATAGCAACCAGCAGCCTTTACCAGTTATGTTTACAGCTGGAAACTATAATGAAGCATGTTCTATTTCTCAGTGAAATAAAACAAATCCTATTTGTTGTTCACACCCCACTGAATTTTTCAGAGAACAATTCAGAATTAATTTCTTTAAACCCCAAAAAGCAATATATATTGTTCTATTATGGTGGAGGCTTATATAATGCACATTCTGATTTTCAACATCTGCTAAAAGCAGATTATTTTGTCCCAAATAATATTTTGAACTGTAAAATTACCTTATTTTAATAACCAGGGATAAATTGCTTTTCCAGCCCTCCACAGAGTGTTTGAAGATCGGGCGAACATCCTTTCTATTCACTTTATTGGAACTATTAACCATCAGCCTGGTTGGACTCGTTTCTCCATCCCTGAAACAATTAAGATTATTTGGGGTTGTATTTTTTTTAAAAAAGTAAGTCACGACAAAAAATGTGCAACATGCAAAGAAGCCCAAATTATGCAAATGCAACAATCAAACTAAACGAGCATCTTTTTTGCCCAAAAGGTACATTGTCAATCATAACCAATTGATCAGCTTTGCTCGCAACCGATCGATGGACGAAACTTCTGTGTGTTCCAGTGTTTAATAATAATGAATAATAATAATAATCATGTTCTAGTGTTTGGCGACTGACCCCGTTTCGCTCGTCACCTAGATCTTGTTTTCCTGTTTGCAGCACATGAGACGTGGCTTGCTCTGTACATGTATCTGCACGTATACATCTACACACAAAAGCATATGCCGTGTAAAAGCAAGGCATTGCTGGCAGCCTGGGGTTCTTGCCTTCACCACAGCTCCCCCATCAAGCGGCAGTCAGTGTTTGGTATCATCTCGGACCTTTTAGCGATCATTACACTTGTGATCCAGTGTTTGAGCATCGCTCTGGCTTCAGATCGTCCCGATTCCTTTTTTAAAGGAAGGAAGGAAGGAAGGAGGTGGGGGGGGGGGGTGGCAAGTTTTCTTGTTGTTGTTGCTCTCTCTCTCTCTCTCCCCCTAAGACTTTCTTTTAAAAAAAAAGGTACCAACCAATAATGAAGGGGAATTTAACATCTTGCCCATCAGAGAGCGGGGCACTCACTTAGTGGACAAGTTGGTGAAACTATAAGATGCCACATTCACTAATCTGCACTGGGGGGGGGGGGGGGAGAGAGAGGGTCCAAATAAGATCAAGAAGACGGACAAAAAAAGGATGGGTGAGCACAGGAGCTGGAAAACGCACCAAGACTGTTAACAGCAGATGCTCTCTCTCTCTCCCTCCCCCCAACTCTCTCTCTCTCTCTCTCTCTCTCTCAGTCGGTGGACGGGCTACTACATGGCACATTTACACTGCTGCATCCTCACAGAGGATCTGAGGCGAGTCAGAGCCGTTAAGTTAGTCAGTTTAGTTTAGTTTGGTTTGTTGTTGTGCCTGGAGGTGACAAAGCCACACCACACACTGCAAACACTGGCCCTGCCCTCCCCTCCCCTCCCTGCTCAGGACCCTGTGGCTGGTGTCTGCACAGAGGTCCTGAGCAGGGAGGGGAGGGCAGGGGAAGGCAGGGCAGGGGATGGGAGGGGAAGGCAGGGCAGGGGAGGGCAGGCAGGGGATGGGAGGGGAAGGCAGGGCAGGGCAGGGGATGGGAGGGGAAGGCAGGGCAGGGGAGGGCAGGGCAAGGCAAGGCAGGGCAGGGGAGGGCAGGGCAGGGCAGGGGAGGACAGGGGAGGGCAGGGCAGGGGAGGGCAGGGCAGGGGAAGGCAGGGCAGGGGAAGGCAGGGCAGGGGAGGGCAGGGGAAGGCAGGGCAGGGGAAGGCAGGGCAGGGCAGGGGAAGGCAGGGCAGGGGAAGGCAGGGGAGGGCAGGGGAAGGCAGGGCAGGGGAGGGCAGGGCAGGGCAGGGGAAGGCAGGGCAGGGGAGGGCAGGGGAAGGCAGGGCAGGGCAGGGGAGGGCAGGGGAAGGCAGGGCACGGGAAGGCAGGGCAGGGCAGGGCAGGGGAAGGCAGGGCAGGGGAGGGCAGGGACTGAACACAGGACATACTCATTTCAAAGTTGGCCATTTGCAGGCAGTGGCACCAGTGTGAGTCTCAATGCTTTTCACTGCCTCCTCACACACACACACACACAACTATTATTGCTCGTTTCGCGTGTGTGTGGGGTGTTGGGGGGAAATGGGAAGAGAGACTGAGGTGGAGATGGTTTTGAGTCGACTCACTCACTGATCCACTTCCACCCAAACGGTATATTTTCCTTCCACCGACCCCTCCTCTCCTCTTCTAACCCAAAGACTTTCGCTAAGACGCCGGTCCAGACCCTTCCTCAGCCCAACACAATACAATAAGGAGCAGCACTTCTCGACGATGCACATTGCAAACGTCCTCACACTCACTCACACCACACACTCACACACCCACTCACTCACACTCACACCACACACTCACTCACTCACACTCCACACACTCACTCACTCACACACACCACACACTCACTAACTCACACACACCACACACTCACACACTCACTCACACCATACACTCACTCACACACCACACACTCACTCACACACTCACTCACACCACACACTCACTCACACACCACACTCACTCACACACTCACTCACACTACACACCACTCACTCACACACCACACACTCACACCACACACTCACACACCACACTCACTCACACTCACTCACACTCACACACTCACTCACACTCACACACACACACCGCACACATCACACTCACACACACCCACACAAAAAAAAAGCACACAACTCTTTTCACAACAGACGGCGAGGAACAAAAAGAAATATCGCTGTGCATCAAGAATTAGAACTGTCACTCAAAACAAAAACTAAAGCCCAAATCTACCAAAACAATTGCAGGCATTGGGGGGTTGGGGTTCATTTAAAAAAATATATTTTAAAAAAATGACAATTTGCGTGTTTATACATTGCAAGTCTGGTGACTTTTGCTTAATTCTTTAACACGAGAATGATGTACATTACCCCAGTTCCGACTGCTGGTGCTCCGTTCTTGTTAAGTCCTTTGTTTTAAAGAAAATGACTAAGATGCTTATGGTGCACAGGGCACAGCATTTTCGGGTGAGGCGCATTGCTTTTTTTTGGGGGGGAAAAAAAAAGAAAAAGAAGGGGGGGGGGGAAAAAAAATATATCCTGCGCGCGTGAAGTCAAGAGAGAGTCGGCTTTCCCTCCCAACCCGTGCAATAAGTGAGAGGGTTGTGTGTGTGTGTGTGTGTGTGTGAGGGAGGTTGCAGTCTGAGCCTGGGCTGAGCTGAGCTGAGCCTGGACTGGGCTGAGCTGAGCCTGGACTGGACTGCCCAGTGCTCTCCTCCCCACACACACTCACTGGGGAAGAACAAAGCTCGCCGTCGCTTGATTGACACCGGCTCTGCCCAATGACACCTCCAGCCGTCCGGATCCCGCCCCCCCCTCCCTCCCTCACAGCCAATCGGGTTGCACTCAGCCTCAGCCCCAGCCCAGAGGCAGCCGCAGATTGACAGGACAGCGGACTGGAGCAGCTACAGGAGGAGGAGGAGGTGGGGAGGGGGTGGAGGAGGAGGAGGGGGGTCACTGGCTCACGTCTGGCTGCTCGAGATAGAGACGGGATGGTGTGGGGAGGGAGGGAGGGAGGGAGGCGATCCTGGTGATACCAACAGCTATGTTTGCACCGCAGACTCTTTTCTCATCCGGTACGTGCAACAGCTCAGTATTTGCTCCTCAACAAAGAATTGGTCTCAGTAGCAACCCTCCAGGTAAAAGTTTCCTCTGTTTCAGAGCAATCGCAAATAACAACAGCCGAGTGTTAGACGGGGGGGGGGGGGGGTCGGTAACGCCCTGCACGAGTGCAGGTTTAATATGCATGATTTTTTTTTCCCCCCCCAAAAAAAAGCATCGCAGTAAATCTGGGCACTGAAATGAAGCGCTCCCACTTAAAATAGCCGGGGATGGTCATGGCCATGGTCAGGGGGGGTGAGCTGCAGCGCCTCAGCAAATAAATGTTGTGAATAAACGTGTACTTTTTCGGCTCCTGCCTTCACGGGCTGTTTGTTTCACGCTGTGAACTTGCTCCTCTGCTTTCATCTCTTCCAGTTGTTTGCTCTGTCCTTGTCTGCCCCCTGGTTCATTTCTCGCCACACACACACACACACACACACACAAACACACAGCCCTCGTTGCCTGAGTTTAACGAGAACGTCGGCGTTTGCTGGAGAGTCGGGAACAGCTTTTGCACTTATTACATTTTTAATAGCCCCCATTTCAGCTGTATTTTTCTCAGCTTTCATGTCGTTGGCTTCACTTCTCAAATTGATATTTTGCATTCCTACGACGTTTGCCGTCTGCTTGAAGATTAACTCTGGGTTTCCTCTTGTGCACTGTGCAGCCGTCTGCAGCCATTGTATTAAGTTGCTAAAACAATAAAAAGAAATCGCACACACCTATAGGAATCACTAGAGAAGGCAGCCAGTCCCAGTTGGACCATACAATACAATAGTCTTTGACATCCATCACACAACTGCACCTTCTCTAACTGTGTTTATTTGAACTGGTAACTCATGCCCTACCCATCTGCTTATCTAAAGTTTACCTCACACATGGCAGACTGACAGCTCACACTCCATCCCTTGCTGCCCTCCCTCAGTCAACAGCTCATATGCCTACCCCACCTGATAGATTTTCAACCTTGCATTAGAACCATAGAAATTTAAAGCACAGAAGATAATTAGGCCCATTGTATTGGAGGTTGTTTTTTTCTGACTGGAGGGAAGTGTGCAGTGGTGTCCCCCACGGGTCGGTATTGGGACCACTGCTCTTTTTGATCTATATCAATGACATGGACTTGGGTATAGGGAGTACAACTTCCAAGTTTGCAGATGATGAGTTAGGAAAAGTAGTAAACATTGAGGAGGATAGGAGCAGACTGCAAGAGGACACAGACTGACTGGTAAAATGGGCAGACACGTGGCAGATGAAGTTTAACGTGGAGAAATGCAAAGTGATGCATGTTTGGAGGAAGAATGAGGAGAGGCAATATAAGTTGATGGTACAATCTTAAAGGGGGAGAAAGAACAGAGAGACCTGGGGTTCAGATAAGTAAATCTGTGAAGGTGGCAGGACAGGTAGATAAAGCTGTTAAAAAATGCATACGGGATACTAGGGTTTATAAATAGGGGCATAGAATACAAAAGTCAGGAAGTTATGAACCTTTATAAAACACTGGTTAGGCCTCAGCTGGAGTACTGTGTCCAGTTCTGGGCACCTCACTTTAGGAAGGATGTCGATGCATTGGAGAGGGTGCAAAGGAGATTTACCAGGATGGTACCAGGAATGAGGGACTCCAGTTATCAGGAGAGGCTAGAGAAGCGAGGATTATTCTCCTTGGAGCAGAGAAGGTTAAGAGGAGACTTAATAGAAGTTTTCATAATTACAAGGGGATTTGATAGGGTGAACAAGGAGAAACTATTTCCACTGGCGGGTGGGTCAGTAAACCGAGGACACTAATTTAAAATAATTTAATTGGCGAGAAGATTCGGTGTGTAAGTCAAGTAGTGACGAAGTATACTTTTTAAGGTTTTGATCGCAAACAGTAATCTGCTGCAAAGTTGGAAAGTGGGCGAACAGCCTGTTTCCTATCTGATGTGATGAAATAAATAATTTTGTCATAAATGACTTGACACTGCGTGCACATAAATGACTTGACATTGCGTGCACATAAATGACTTGACACTGCGTGCACAAAAGCCCTCTTCCGTTGCAGTTTTGAATTCAGTTAATTCATGTGGCCCATGATATCAACGGCAAATGCGAAATCAGGGAGCCAATTCGCATCATTCAGCTGTGGGAAATACGAATCTTTTTGTTTCATGTCCAAAAATAAATCAATCTCTGTTCTCAGTTCCCACACTCTTTTCAAAATCTTTCCTAAACTAAGCCATCTTATATTCATGTGATACAGAGCATCTGTGTGCTCGGATTCCAATTCCTCAAGCAGAGTTTGAGCCTGTGGTTTAATCCTCTTGCTCGAATGTAGTTGACCACTTTCGTAACTGTGTCCACGACACTGCTTAATTTTAGAACACTCTTACAGAGAACCTCTTGGTGGATAATGCAGTGTAGAAAAACAATATTCTGTTCTGGATTTGTTTCTTTGACTTGATCTTGAATTCTTTTCAGTAACCCAACATTTTTGCCTGTCAGATTCGGGCTTCCATTAGTGGTCACATTCACCAATTTTTTCCACTCCACTCCTAATTTTAAGATACACTTGTTTACTGCCTCCAAAAAGACTTCTCCAGTTGTCATATCTTTCATTGACTGCATTGATGCCGATTCTTCTGTGAGCTCAAAATGTTTGGTGATACCTAGAATAAAAATTATCAACTGGGCTGTGTCTTTGACATCACAACTCTCATCGAGTGCCAGTGAAAAACATGCAAAATTGCTTACTTTATGTTGTAACGGCACACTGTTTTTATTTTCTTTCTTTATTTTATTTTTTAATTTATTTTTATTTTATTTATTTTATTTGTTTTATTTTTCACCCACACTGGTAAAAAAAATTTAGAAGTTCATTCTTTGTTGAATATTCGGCCTTCAGCGTCCACTTTCCGCTGCTTTGCTAAACTCATTTCGAATTAACGTCCTCTTCAGTGAAAAGTATAGCCGCGGTTGTCGCCCGTGCGTGTTTGAAAATTTGCCGATCCGTACGTTTCTGACGTCAGCCTGATTCAACATTTAAGGGAGCGTGCGCACAACTAAGCAGTGTGATTGGCTGATGTTCCTGGTCAGATTCAAATGCAAAATTTGTGCGACTTTCTGGGACTGAACGAACTATCATTTTTTTCTATTGCTAGACACAATGACGGGCTGGATAGAATCATTTGGCGGGCCGGATATGGCCCGTGGGACGTATTTTGCCCACTCCTGATCTAAAGTATCTAAACTACAATCTTCTCTTCCTGGTTGGCCGATTCCATTCTCAGAACTCTGTACAATGTCGAGTGCCTAAACACCTAGGATTTCTCTCTCTCTCTCTCCCTCTCTCTATGCTTGGCCAGTGCGCGCACTCTATCGCTGACTCATCAGTTAACTTACACAGTCAGATTTAATGACCAACCTGCAGCACATGTGTCAGATACAAACGTAGTAAGATCTGGATATGCTGCAGGACTTTAATCTTTCAAAATTGCAATCTGTAATTAAAATGGAATTGAGTTTTTGAGTATGGGTAGGAAGAAATTGATGCAAGTGTGCAGTATCAACAGAATAATAAGTACTTCACTAATAGATAATCAAGGTAGACTTACCAGCAGGCAACGGTATTTCCTTTACCAGCAGAGTCACATAGTTTTAAATGGAGATTGTTTATCGCTTACAAATATTTGGGATATTTTTAAGCATGTGG